ACATTAATCAGGATTAGATTTCTGTAATTTGACCATACTGTGATAGTGATTAGCACTGTATGCAGCTTAGGCCACAGTCCTTAGAGTTCATACAAGTAATTGCATTGACATAGCAAAGAATTCTGACGCTGTTCCCAAGTACAGAGCAAAGACTGAATTGTCACTAACTGGTTTGAAACATTGCTTTGAAAAAGGGCCTATCATAGCAATAACATATCCAGATGTTCCTTTATCTCAAATGCAGAGTTATTAATAGACTGCTTCATCCTTGCTAAAAAGAGAGCCAGTTAACACAGCCTTACTTTTAATTTATGATTTGTTAGGTCTATTTCTTAATGTGATTAATGACAAATCACTACTTAAAGCATGGAACATTCATCAGCAGAACTGTAAGCCCTTAAAACAGGTGTTGAGGGAATTTGAGAACTTTACAATGCAAAGTTCTATTGTTTCTATCAGTCTAAATCACCAAAAGAACTGAAAACAAGTAAGGCTTTCATGGTTTTCATCCATACATGAAGGGCAAACGTCAAAATTTGCCAGTGCGGAATGTGAGACAACAAGAAAACAGAACCTTTCCTGAAGCTTTCTTGAAGATAGAAAGTTTTTGGTTAAGATTTGCCTTTTTTAAAGGATGAAACATTTAGAATCTTGATTACTGGGAGAAGGAAATAAGAGAAGGAAAAAGAAAGAAAACCTAGAATGTAACTATATAGAATACCGACCTATATATCGTACATATAACACAACAAGAATACATCTGACTTCTAGGTATTTCTGAAATTACAGAATGAAAGATCAGTTATCAAAATAAATTATTTATTGTATGAAGTAAATGTCCACAGAGGACACTGATAAAAAAAAAAAACTAAGTAGACCAGATGAGCCAGAGACCCTCAGGACAAAGACCGTGAAAATTCTCAAAGAAACTTAAAAAACGGACTAAAAATAGATAGTGGTAGTGATTCTTCTTCCCTAAAATAGGAAAGGTATAAAATAGTTAATTAGAGATATTCAAAATCAATATTATTATTTTTTTCTAACATCTGTACATCTAGGAACATTTTTACTAGGTATCCTACTTTAGTACTAATTCCCCTAATGACTAATTTTAGTCATCGGTGATTTTTGCTTTTCTGCTCAGTTCTGTTCAGTTTTTATTTCTACTTCCTTTTCTTTCCACGTCCTGTTATTTCATCTTCTCTTTAATGTATATTGTAAGTTCTCTAGAGTAAAATTTTTTTCTTTGTTATAGGTCTGCAGAGAGCCTTGCATAACCCACCCATGATATACAAATGGTGGGTTTAAGTGATAGCATACAAATAAATTAACACAAAATGTTTATTGCACTTATACCCACTTATACCTAACAGAAACAGATGACTAATGGATATTAAACGCTGGTTTAATTAATGGGGAAAGAAAAAAAAAAAAAAAAAGCGGGGGAAAATCCTGTTGATAAACAGATCTTTAAAAATTATTTCAACACAATCTGTTGCAGTAATTACCAGAAAAAAACTTCCTGGTTCTGCCTTCAAAGACAGAGAGAAAGAAAAAATGAGTGAGGGTGCCTGGGAGTACTGTTTATGAAAAGGAGGCCTGTGAATTGTGCAGTACTTCAGTGTCCTGACCACTGGAGAAGATTGAAAACTGACTAGAATAAAGAGAATCTGCAAAACTTGACTGCAAATAAACAATTTTCTTGTCTCCATTTTATTCAGAGTTGGCCATTATCAAAATGTACATTCATTCCAGAATGCAACCTTTTTAAAAAAATTATTGAGGGGCTGGTAAAGAAGTGTCAGATACTAATAATTCCAGTCTGAATATTCTCACTTGAATAATGACTTCCAGACATTGCTTCAATTCAAGGTATGCTAAGATCTGTGGCCTCTCTGGATTCTACGCAGATCCAACTATGGGAACACAGAAGTAGTTTAGAACTGCCCTCCTTTCACCTTCAGAAATCAGACCCGATCTCCGAGCCAGTTCCAGTACTCTCTGTGGTAGAGTAGCTCTTTTATTTTTCTTTTTTTTTTTTTAAATTATTTTTCAATTTTAAGTTGTGAAAAACAAACAAAAAACGCATAGTGGATAATTTTCTCTGTAGCATGATGTTTGATGGACATCCTTGATTTCTGTGCAAGAATGTTTGAAAGTGACTGATACTATGGAAAGATAGTATTGGGCTAGCTCTTATATAGGACCTTTTAGTTTTCGTATCTATGTTCTTAATTTTGGTTGTTTCTAAATCTGACTTGTAATTCAACCCCTTAAATATTTCTAAACTAATGGTATTTCAAAATAATTATTTCTAAAACTTTTAATGGTTTGTTTTACCTCCTTAACAATAATTAAAAAGACAAAAATTCTTTATTCTTACCTCTAACATTGAGTATTCTTCCCTTTACAAATCAACTATCCACTAATTATAGAGACTTTACACAAGATGTGTTAAGTGGCCTTTCACAAATGGTGTCTTCTAGCATGAAACGCTGGTAATATCCTAGTCATATAAATCCGTATATGCTACAATATAGAAGTCCAAGATTACCTTTTTTGAATAGTTATAAATAAAAACTTTGTACTTATTTTTGCGTATTTAATATTTTATTTCAATTTTTGAGTTATTAGACTCCTTCAGTATTATCTGTAGAATAGAGAATACTGAGAATAAATCAGACCAGAACAAAATAAAAATGGAATAATCTAGGAAAAATAGCATGAGATACTGTCTTTCACTGGTTGACCATGCCTTTTAATGAACGCTTCTACCCAGACAAAGACAGAGATGAAATTATATCTTTCAGTTAGGGAATTTGTCCTATCTGCCCAGTTTTCCAGCTTGACTGACTGGAAAAAAAGATTTTCCAAGCCACATAACTGGAGGTTGAATAATCATTGTCAAAAAGATGAGCCCTGAAGTTTGTCCAGTTGTATTAAATACATAAATAAAAATAATAAATAACAGGATGATGCTTGTCTACTATTGCTCATGATCAGCATGTCTTTCGTCACAGAACTGCACTGCTACAATGCACACCTCAGTTTGCTTGGAAGAAGAGAATTTAGAGCAGGTTAACAAAGTGACTGCTCAGTTTTGTTGACTTCAAGCTTATTGTCCAGCATACAACTGGATTCAAGCAGTAATACTCATGTATAGAAAACACAGGGTAATTAACAGGGTAATTAACAGGGTAATTAACACAACCATATTTAGGTATTTGCATGGGATAAAAAGTGATTTTTATTCATCATTGGGAATAAGAACTTCTACCAGTAGATTTTGGGTTTATTTATTCCTCTACTAAACTGATTTTGACAGTTTTTTATTCCTCATGTTATTTGTCCTGGTCATCTTTGTAATAATATCCCATTTTAGTAGTCAGTGACTTCATTTTAAATTTTTTGTTTGAAAACAATCTATTTTCTTTGCCCTTTCTTATGTGATTGCTTGTGCACTTTCAAGTCTGGTCGAGTTTTTCTCTGACACTACATGCAAAGTACTGTAGAGACAGCATTGTTTTTGCTTGGTAAACATCTGTGCCATGAAAAGATATTGCCTGGGAAATGAATTAGGCATGAATAAGTTTTATATCCCCATTTAAAACAAATATAAAATAAATCAAATTATTGTTTAATATACTTAATTATCTTTTCATGTGTCGCATGTCACATAGCATATGTCCTGTAAAAAGCACTTGGTTTGGTCCTCTGAACATGTCATTTATATGCTAATGATGAGAGATGAAACAACACATTCTTGCCAGTCAGAATCCACTGTAAAAAATATGTGTCCCTAAATAGAGTTCTATTCTAAAAATTACATTAGTCCAGCCATACTTAATTTTGAAAAGGGCGAACTAACTGTAACTACAAATTCTCTGAATATGGTAAATAATTCATTTTATTGTAGAATATTTACCAGAGGATTTTTTAGGTTGGATGGAGCTCATCTAGTCCATCCCTCCGGCAGGGTCAACTAGAACCTACTTTACCATTCTAATTGAAAAAAAAAATAAAAAAATAAAAAAATGAAAAACTGCTTCATCCTTTCATCCTTTAAAAAGGGCCTTGACTAAGCTGTTTTTCTTATGTTTATCTTGGATTTCTTCTATCACAACTTGTGCTATTTACTTCTCAACATATCACTGGGCATCACTGACATCTGACTGATTTTAAAAGGCACTTAAATCTAGTAATAGTTTATACAGGCAAAAAAAAAAAAAAAAAGTAAATATATTATTAAAAAGTAGTTGTAGTTCTGAAAAAAATGCTAAGGGTGCCACTCAGTCCAAACTGTGTCTTCTACACATCTGAATTACTGTGAACACTTTATCTCAAAACATGATAAAGTACCTTTCAGTAATAAATTCATTATAGTACTTTGAAAATAGAAGAAATAGCTCTCTATCTGTAAATAATTTGTAGTATTTGCTTGGCTCCAGACAATAAACCAAATTATTTTGTGACCTAATGCCACTGAGAGCAGCAAATTCCTGTCACAGAGGTACACACTTCATCATTATAATATAGATCATGAGTATCACTAACTATGTATATTTTCACATTGTCTATATATACAAATACACTTAAAAATTTATATATCTAATACACATAATGTCATGTGTTCAACTGGGCAACATTTGCATTTACTAAGCTCTCAATTTTTAACAAGCCTGATATAAGGAACCTCTTAAATGCCTACAATATATTCACCTTTCACAACATATAATAAAGTCAAACACACTCATGCAGCTACTTCATTACAAACATACTGTCAAAGAAATGGAATCTTTAAAGGAATGAACTCATCTGGAGGTGGTGATTGAAAGCATTTTCGCATCTCAGGAAAGGAGCATTTTAACATTGCTTGTCACGGACATCCTGTTAGGCCTTCATGAGTATCATGTAACACCTTTGGTACAGCTTCTTTAAGACTAGAAATGAACTTTTGCTATTGGTTCTACTGTAAAATTGAATTAATACATTGTACTCACAGGTTGTTTTATTCAAATGATAATTTTTGCTTGCTTCTTGCTATTCACCAGGAAATAACCAGCTCCATATGACTCATGTTGTGGGAGTTCAAGCCTGCTTGCACACAAAAGAAAATTACATAATTAAACTAAATTCTGCAAATCAAAAACATCTTTGTAATTGCCTAAAGAGTATTTTATATTCCATTTTCAGAAGATGCTTCTCTGTGTACCTATTCAGAAGGAACATATATTATAAAAATTAATTTTAGTTTCTTAAATAATTAAGCAGTTTGGTGAGTTTTAGTTGCTGCTGTTGGTGTGTTTTTTTTTTTTTTTTTTTTTTTTTTTTTTTCCTCCCAAAGAATACTTCTCTTATGCAAATTTCTGAATTTTAGGTTTATGCTTCAGTTTTGTCCTGATTAAGGAAATGTCATTTACTGTACATGTATCTGATCTGAGTTTCATTTTTTTTTAAAAGATGGGCTATTGGGCAGAAAAATAAACAAACAAGCACTGATGTTCTTAACAATCTCTGAACTAAATTTAACTTAAGGAAAATATTTTAAAGTTAATAAAGAATGGAAAAATTACAGAAAAAATATTGTTATTTCAACAGACATGAAAACAGACAGGACTTTCAAAACACTACTTCAGAGAAGTAAAGAAAGGCCAGGGAGAATAGTGATTAATGAGTAGAGCTTTAGCATTTAGTTTTGTGGGTCTTCTTGGAGTCCAGCAGTACCAATCCACCAATCAGCAGTTCTTTCTGATGTGTTGTTTCCTAACCTAACTACAGACTGTCACTTCAATCTCTAGAGAATGTTATTGCCTAGGAAGACTGAACTGGTAAGGGGGAGAAAGAGACCAAGAAAATCACTTCTAATTACTGTGATGTCAATTTGGAGACTAACTGGAAACATCAAAAATCTATCCTTATTTCTTACACTAGAGTAAAACCAAAAAAAAAGTCTCTTGACTTCTTGATCCACAGCTCTGTCTAGTTCCTGAAAATGCCAGTTTCACTAAACAGGATTTCTAGACTACTCACAAGTGGGGACTTATAAAGGACTTATAAATTATGATAAAGGACTTACCATAATTTAATGATAATCGGTCACAGAGTTCTGTTTAGTGAATTCTAATGCTTCCAAAAATTGGATTTTGATGAGGTTTCTGCACTTTAATTTCTTCTCTGTATGCATTCCTGCTAAAGACTATTAAATAGAATACAGACTGAAAGCTAACCCACACTGCATACTTCAAGATGTTTTATTAGCTTTCGTGAACATTAGACAACCTGTCTGTATTTACCACCTGTTAATAACAGGATGGCATAGAAAATAAAATACATGCCATGAAGCTTACTGTTATTGTCTCCCATCTTTGACATTTTCCTCTTTGAACATTCTGCAAAGAAACTCTCTCTGGTTCTCACCATTTCCCTTTACATCCACTACATCAAAAGCAGAGAAGAACAGAATTCTTAGCCTAATATTGTGTAGGTGACAAAATATTTCTTATGCCTCTGCTTTGGTAACAACTTTGAAATACTTTTCATAGCTGCTTGACAAATCCACAATTTCTTCTGCCCAAATCCTGGCTGAATTTCAGTCTCATAATTACATTCCACCTACCTAAAATTCTCCCTTTAGTTTGAGTGGGATAGTGTGCCATTTTCTGAGCTCTGTTAATTTGCTTATAAACTCCCACAGATACTAAAGAGAAAGTCAGGCAGTACTTGGTTTCACTTTTCTAAAAACATTATATACAATGTACCAATTTTTCAGTAAAGCTAGTGAAAATATTCCAACAGACCGAGGCCATAGTGCTGAATCTAACACTGTTGCTGACCAACTAACTTTCTGCCCTTCTGTGGCAGCATTTAAGCTGATTCAAAGTGGTGTGGAATGAAAATTCTCTTGATCCAGAACTCATGAGCCAGTGCCCAATATAAACATTGTAACAGCATACCTGTCTTTTTTTTGAAAACTGCTAAATGGCAACATTTTTATTTCAGTGAGAAATTAAGAATTTCCCAAACTTCATTTTCCAGGAAAGAGAAATGTTAGTCCCTGGTACACTCTGCTTTTCAGGTCCTAGTGTAAATCTCATTCTTGGTTTAGAGATGTGACAAACACTGTAGAAGCTGTAGGCTTTCCCTTTATCAATTATTTTCTTGTTCATCCAGGCATCTAATTTTTCATTTATACTTGAAAAATACTACTAAACAATTACAATGCTCAGTTTCCTGATCACTACGAAACCTAAAGAAGAGTAGTTTTTATTTTGGGATCATCGGATTTAGACTTGCAAACTAATATTTGTAAGACAAAAGCAATTATCATTAGTTGAACATGAACTTCTAAGCATTCGGAGTTTAAAAAGTTCCAAGATCATGTGGTGTTCAAAAACTAAAGCCAGAAAAAAAAAAAAGAATAATTGGTAAGAGGAATAAAGGTAGTATCTTGACAAATATCAGAAGAGGAGATATAAATTGATATTTGTAAGCAGACCTTCTGTAGACTTTTTCTGCAGTTCTTCTAAGAGTTGTTCTGTCTAGCAGGACTATCAACAACTCTTATGTTTCCCAGACACCACTGAAACTCCTAAAGTATTTGAGCCCATTTGTTGTTCAGTTATTAATAACATTTGCATCTGTTCTACCTGATCTTCTCTGATCATTTTGTCTAGTGCTAATGTTTTACCTTTTCCTTTTTGAATTACTGCAGATGTTTGCTGATTCTAACCATACTACAGCTGCCTTTTAAACAAGCTACAAAATTATCAGAAAATGCATTGGACATCAGAAGAAAATTTCACTAGCAGCAGGTTTTCCACATGATGAAGAGACAGAATGCCAAGAAAACCTAATTTACTCTTTGTGTGAAGTAGAAGGGTTATATTCCTCTGGGTCTTTATTCCTGTGCATGCCACTTTGCAAATGAAACACACCATGAGTACTGTATGAAAAAAGCATCATGAATACTAAGTTGGTCTTGAGTTATACAGGAATATAAAATGCATTGGTTCTAGTTAAAATTGATTTTGCCTTGGAAATAAGTATTGGATTCACTTTCTCTCCATCCCCAAAACACGTAGACAGATGGAAAATATCATGGTTGCTGCTGTATATTTGAGTGATAAATATACTTACACAATAAAGAAAACCAGCAATATTGTTGGTAGTTTCAGGAAAAAAAAAAGTTACTATTTCACTGCAAAGAGGTACAGTCTCTGGAATAAGTTCACAGAGTTCAGCAGTGTTGATTTACAAAAGAGAAAAAAAAAAAAAGAAAAAAAAATGAATTTTTATATTTTTTCCTTGTATTAAACAAGGCATAATTAGAGCTCCTGTTGGAGCTACCAAAAAGTCAGGAAGGCAAGGGGCTATGTGAAATTATAGAATTAAAACATCTTGTGTACTGTTGTAATAAGTGTAGCAGCTGCTAGATTCCTTGTGTTTCCTTTTATATTATGTTAAAATAAATTACTGGTCTGAAAGTGTTTTTCTAGTTACTGATCTTAAGTAAAAATATTGATGAGTACTGATGAGATCAGATAAACCAACAGGATCCAACTTTCATAACCATTTGAAGGCCCAAATGACTTTGAATATTTTAATCCTGTAAAATACATTCAAATATTTTTCACACATAATGTTCAAGGAACTATGCTTGATACAGATTTTCAGGCTTTTCAGATGGGCTTCTTCACAGTTTATATGTAACTGAAATGTGCAACCAATTTCTGCTCTATTCTAAAGTATCAGTTGCTGTTTAAAGAAGGATTATTGATGATACTGATTCTTGTCACCAAAAAAGGCAGAATTGATCAGTCTGGGGCTATAAAACTTATTTAATTATTTACACAATTCCTCAGCACCTTTTAGACAGCATCAGTTGTACCACTTATTAGACCATTTTCACGAAATAAGAAGTAAAACAGATATCTTTGGTTAGGTTGATATTATTGATCTATTATGATTTGATCAAGGTTAAACAAATCATAACTTCTTTTGCTCCTTTTATTACATTCTAATTATATACAGATTCTTACAGTATAGACTGAACAGTTTGCCAATGCATTTTATTTTAACATCAAGTCAAGTCCAGTTGGAGGCCAGTCACTAGTGGCGTCCCCCAGGGCTCGGTGCTGGGGCCGGTCCTCTTTAACATCTTCATCAATGATCTGGACGAGGGCATTGAGTGCACCCTCAGTAAGTTTGCAGATGACACCAAGTTAGGTGCGTGTGTCGATCTGCTTGAGGGTAGGAAGGCTCTGCAGGAGGATCTGGATAGGCTGCACCGATGGGCTGAGGTCAACTGCATGAAGTTTAACAAGGCCAAGTGCCGGGTCCTGCACCTGGGGTGCAATAACCCCAAGCAGAGCTACAGGCTGGGAGATGAGTGGTTGGAGAGCTGCCAGGCAGAGAAGGACCTGGGAGTGATGGTGGACAGTCGGCTGAATATGAGCCAGCAGTGTGCTCAGGTGGCCAAGAAGGCTTGTTCAGCCTGGAGAAGAGGAGGCTCAGGGGCGACCTTATCGCTCTCTATAGATACCTTAAAGGAGGCTGTAGTGAGGTGGGGGTTGGCCTGTTCTCCCACGTGCCTGGTGACAGGACGAGGGGGAATGGGTTAAAGTTGCGCCAGGGGAGTTTTAGGTTAGATGTTAGGAAGAACTTTTTTACTGAAAGGGTTGTTAGGCACTGGAACAGTGTGCCCAGGGAGATGGTGGAGTCACCATTCCTGGAAGTCTTCAAAAGACGTTTAGATGTAGAGCTTAGGGATATGGTTTAGTGGGGACTGTTAGTGTTAGGTTAGAGGTTGGACTCGATGATCTTGAGGTCTCTTCCAACCTAGAAATTCTGTGATTCTGTGATCAAATAACTTTACCATCTGATTTATTAATAAAGTTAATGTGTCTTTGCAGAGCCAGGCACCAGATCAGAAATACTATGGTAGACTGATATGATTGTCTGAGCTGGAGTCACCTTTTCCCCGCAGTAGCCCACACAGTGCTGTGCTCTGCACTCATAGCTGGAACAGCACTGATATCACTCAAGTGTTGTGTCTACTGCTGCATAGTGCTGGCACAGCATCAGGACTCCTTCCA